CGACCTCGTTCCGCCCTGTCCCCATCGCTAATCGTCGGACTGATCCTCACTGTTTCCCCTTGCCCTCAACGAATCTTTCCCTCCTTACACAAGCCCATCGGTTTCGTCTGCCACCTGCTTCCCCGTTCAACTACCCGTGCGGCTCTCTTGCAGCCATCTATCCTGTTGTAGACCGACAGGAAGAAGAGACTTCTTTCGCCCAGAAAATCTCACTACCTATTACGGCACACAATGGCCTCCTCGTCGATGCATCTTTCGAAAATGCGGAGATGGGTTCTCTCCTCTCCTCCAATTGAGTGGGCTCTGTCACATCTCCGGGAGCTGATGATTGGTGCTCTCAGAGAAGGCCCGGTTCCGCAACATGTGGCGTTTGTTATGGATGGCAATAGACGGTTTGCTAGGCATCATCGGATAGAGAAGCTTGAGGGTCACAATTTGGGGTTTGAGGCATTAGCAAAGGTTGGTGCTCTGGGAATCCCCCCACCCCTTTTATTTTTGTTTATTTATTTATTTATTTATTTTTTTGTGGTAGTTGTTTATGGGGGGATTGTCTTCTTTAAATGACATGATGCTAACCACAATGAATGCGTGTTTAGATACTAGAAGTGTGCTACAAAGCTGGCGTTAGGGTGGTGACGGTATATGCCTTCAGTATTGAGAATTTCAAGAGATCGAAATACGAAGTCGATGCGCTGATGGATATGGCAAGAGTGAAACTGGCCCAGCTGTCTCAACATGGAGATCTGCTGGATCGCTACGGCGCGAGTGTGCGTGTTCTGGGACGCAGAGACCTACTCAAACCAGAGGTGTTAGAGGCTATTGATAAGGCGGTTGAGCTGACTAGTCGAAATGGGGACGCTATCCTGAATATTTGTTTCCCTTACACATCGAGAGACGAGATAACAACGGCAATCCGGGACACCGTTATCGAGTACAGTACTCCTCTCGATCGGACGCAATTACCACGGTCGAATAGGTCACGGCGTGCCTTTTCCGAAACCCATATTAAAGAAAGCATACAAAGAGAAGGGGGCATGCCCAATGGAATCGATACAGATTCTACCCTCTTACAACCTCGTGGTAAACGAGAGGGGAGAAGTTCCAGCGCCGATCCCCCTTCTGAACACCCTTCATCATATTCCTCAGCAACAACCACCCGCCAAGACGCAGGAAAAATCCCCACAATTCCAGAAGGCTACACTAGCTACCCACCAAACAGCGACCAGCTGATCTTCCTCTCACCAGAGACCATCACTTCTCAAACAATTACGGACCACATGCTTACCGCTGGTTGCCCGGCTCTGGATCTCCTCATCCGGACATCTGGTGTGGAGCGACTGAGCGATTTCATGCTGTGGCAATGCCACCAGGGCACGGAGATCGTGTTCCTGGACACTCTCTGGCCAAACTTTGACCTCTGGACGTTCTTGCCAGTGTTGTGGGAGTGGCAATGGCGGATACGCAAGCAGTGTAGTCGACATGGGGAGCTGGGGAACGGTGATGAGGACGACTACGGCTTGCATGACGAAGTCACCAATGGTGTGAATTCGGACCCTCCGTCAACACTCATACAAAATGGCAAGTTCAAGGATATATAATAGTTTGGTTTTCATTACCCACAGGGATGGGAGAAGCATAGCAATTTTTTTTTTTTTTTTTTTTTTTTTTTTCATTTATTCTCGTATTGTCTTGCTTGTCAGCCACTATTGTACTAGCAAATACGGAGTTCTTTGGTCTTATGATTCTTGTAACTGCGTCTGTTTTCATACTTATCAGAAGCTTCATTTACTCTTTCCCCTTTTTGTTCTCAGTCTTTCCCATTCAGGTCTATTCTTATTGCATGGATGGAGATTTGGAATTGCTCACTGCACATTGTCTTGTTTTCCAACATCTACCTACAAATAGACCAATATACCCTATTCTGTCCTTTCCCTAAGTCATTCATTTAACTCTAACTCTTCTCTCCAAAAAATAACAGCAGTTTCCCCTACATTCGATCGTCCGGGCTGTCCATGTTAGCGGATACTCATATAACTTTGTTGTGTTTATTGAACTCCTTCAGCTAGCCCAAACATCTAAACTGGATAGAGAATGCACGTGATCGGGAAGGCGGGCGTCGTCATGTGATATCACGAACTCGGGCCGAGATCGGAGAAATGATGACTAAGCACGTCGCTTGCAAAGGGTTTCATTCTCATCAGGAGCAAAACTGTCATTTCTTTCGATCAATTTATCTGGCTGCAATATCAAAGCCATTAAATCTATAATCTGAGCTTCCCTATTCACAGCCAAAGTTTTCTCATGATGCTGCAGCCAATTGAAGGTCGCAAGGTGCTGCTGTAAGTACCTAACCCAAAAGATATTTTGAACCCCACCCAGTCGCTCTTCACTATCCGGCGTTTATTATCTATTTCATTTCCGGCAAATGTAACAACATAATTGAATATTGTTAGCTGAACGTGACTGTTTGTCGCCATTATATAGGTTAGGAAGTGGTTTCGGTTCGTTTTACCTATTCTGGAGTTTTGAATATTGCGGGAAGAGGGTCTTGGTGTTCTAAATACAAAGACTCCGTTATTTGTCTCGGACTCATTTGTTGATAAATTCTTTCCCTTCTTCTCTGCCGTTTGAACAGTCACGAAACCGACGGTTGAGGTTTTGAGCAATGCGGGTGTAGAGGTCACGGTTGGTACGTCATAGATTCCCCTGTCATCATAAGGTTGGAGGGTTGTCGAATGGACATATTCTCGAAATAAAAGGCAAGGAGAATGCTATATTTGCTAGATAAGGGACGTCCTCAGCTGATCGTATGCAATAACAGCCTGCCGCACGCTTGAGAGCGCCAAGAAGCTTTCCGAGGGCATCAAGAATACGAAAGCCATCTCCCTCGATGTTACAAACAATGCTGCTCTCGATGCTGAACTGTCCAAGGTCGACCTTGTCGTTTCCCTTATTCCTTACACCCATCATGCCACTGTCATCAAGGGCGCCATACGCACCAAGAAGAATGTCGTCACCACCTCTTATGTGTCACCTGCCATGATGGAATTGGAGAAGGAGGCCAAGGAGGCTGGTATCACAGTCATGAATGAGATTGGTCTTGATCCTGTGAGTTGCGCCGAGTTTAAGATCGCTAGTGAAATAGCAGATCGCAGTGAGGTTTACTGATATGCATTCTTGGTATTTTAGGGCATTGATCATCTTTACGCTGTCAAAACCATTTCTGAGGTAATTTTACACACTATTTTTCCTAATTGCGTAGCTAGTTATGTTAAGCTTTTCCAACATATATTCATTATTTCTAGGTTCACGCCGCTGGAGGAAAGATCACCTCCTTCCTCTCCTACTGTGGTGGATTGCCCGCCCCAGAATGCTCTGACAATCCACTTGGCTACAAGTTCTCCTGGTCTAGCCGCGGTGTCCTCCTCGCCCTTCGAAATGATGCGAAATTCTACAAAGACAGCAAGATGGTGTCTGTCTCCGGATCTGAGCTCATGGGAACCGCTAAGCCATACTATATCTATCCCGGCTTCGCTTTCGTCGCATACCCAAACAGAGACTCAACAGTCTACAAGGAACGCTATAATATCCCAGAAGCCCAAACCGTCATCCGCGGCACGCTTAGATACCAGGGCTTCCCCGAGATGATCCGCACTCTTGTCGACATGGGTTTTCTTAGGGACGAAGCGAAAGATTTCCTCAACTCTCCCATTCCTTGGAAAGAAGCTACGCAGAAAATCCTAGCTGCCACTTCCTCAAGCGAAAGGGATCTTGAATGGGCCATCTCTTCTCGCACTAAGTTCCCCACTACTGAAGAGAAATACCGCATCTTGGCTGGTCTCCGCTGGATCGGGATTTTCTCTGACGAGAAGATTATCCCTCGCGGCAATCCCCTGGATACTTTGTGTGCTACCCTTGAGGCGAAGATGCAGTACGGGCCCGGAGAGCGTGATATGGTTATGCTTCAGCACAAATTTGAGATTGAGAACAAAGACGGGTCCAAAGAGACAAGGACTAGCACTTTGTGCGACTACGGTGACCCCAATGGCTATTCGTCCATGGCGAGATTGGTGGGTATTCCTTGTGGTGTTGCTGTTAAACAGGTTCTTGATGGGACTATCAGCGAGAAGGTATGTGGATTTCCTATCCCTTTACCATTTATTTTCATGTTCATTACGAAACTGTTTTCTCCTATCATTTTTCCGCGATTGCGTTCAGAGGAGCTAATGATACAACTCCTCAGGGCATCTTGGCACCGATGAGCATGGACATATGCGCCCCTCTGATAAAGGCTCTTAAGGAGGAATATAACATTGAGATGATTGAAAGGACCCTCTAAATACATATTAGGAACATAACTAAGTATTGGGTTTTTTCTTCCCCCTTTAAGTCAAAAAACAAAATAAAAGTTATATTAATTTGAGAAGGATATCATAGAATGGTTTAAAATGGCAGTCATTTTCCTTCTCACTTTACAATTTTCGTGCAGTTATAATGTAATTAATTATCCCGGATATTAATTTCATGACCGAATGGCAAGTTTGATCGATTGCAAAGGTTGCTAACTACGAGACGACTCTTTAACTATGGTGGAAAATAAAACACGTGACAGAAGGGTCTATTTCAACGACTGTCAGGCGAGAAATGACGTCCTCCGTTCCCCTGTCTTCAGGTATCCAGGATATTGCAGGCGTGGAATATATTATAGTTAATGCTTATATACGAGGAACTCCGGAGAGGATTGATATAGTTAACTACTGAGGACTTTCCATTTCTGGTCTCCAAAATATAACCGGGTGTGCGCCCGGGTATGTCCGGGAATGCGCGCTGAGGTAAAGCTGTACATACTTGGGAGAAACTATGACGTTTTCCGCTGTTGGGTTTGGATATCTATATAATGGGATAGACTGCCTTTGAGAAAACTACAATCATCTAACTCACCCATCTACAAAATTCCATCGAGGAAGAATTAAGTGATCATAAATCGAATACCTACCACAATGGCCGCAGCAGAACCAACCTACGACAGAACGTGAGAAAAAGCCTTCTTTAGTTCCCATTTTTCATTTCCCCCACATCTCCGTTGCTCCAATGACGAGCTTCCACCGTTAACACAGTGATTCAAACAGCCGGCCCCTCCCCACCGTTCAACCACTTTACCATCACAAACTTGTTAATTGCCCCGGGATGTCAATCATTGGCGTGCTGGTGAAATTCCCTCCTAATGGCGCTTCCCCCCCGCACCGACACGGCGGTGCCTCCGTTTCCGCATACTTGCTTCAAGGCACCCTGCATAATAAAATGAATGATGACCCCATGTACACCGTCCAGCAAGGAGGCACATGGTTGGAGAAGCCTGGCTGCCACCATAAGATTAGCGCGAATGTGAGCGCAACCGAGCCCGCGACGATACTGGCAACTTTCGTGATCGAGACGGAAAAGATGGAAAGGGATGGCCATACGATCCTTGTTCAGGTTGATGAGGAATATCGAGATTTAGTGTTTCCAGAACCTGAGGGTAACATGCTTTGATTTTTGATATAACTTTGGAAAACCTGATTGCTGTAGTTTCTGCCTTGGTATGGATAGTCTAAGAAATGTCTTTATCGATTGCAATTCTCCATAGCTAGTCATCTGCAAATTCATTCACTACTGCTGCTACGCAGTCCGGCATCTCCCGGTTCGGGATCTCGGGATGTTGGGTTCTCGGGGCCTCGGGAAGGTTATCCAGTGGAATGCCTCTTACCCGACCAAGCTAAATTAATAAGCTTAACTTTAGCTAAACCTTAAATCCATCACTCTTCAACTGAAGTCTGACAACGTACATATATATATATATATATATATATATATATCGTTAGAGGGGAATTACCACCATTCTCATCTCGACAAGGAGAAGTCTCCTGCTCTGTATTCTCATAGCAGGCGTCCTACGTATTATTTAAGGTGTTGGTATTCATGTTCGAGTTTCCCCCTTCAAATATCTAATATGGCAGCTGTTGGCCATCCGAATTCCTTGTATGTCTCAACCTCGCGATGGTTTGTCTGTGTCAGGTTGTAAGGACTGGCATTCATAGTATGGATGTATCATCTTCATATTGTTTCCGTCAATGTCAGGCGGAATAGGAAGATACTGTATTTACAGGCGGCTTGATATGATGGAAGACGGCACCAGGGGAGAAAAAGAAAGAAAGTTGGAGAGGGGTCCTAAAACCATACAATTGCCAGTATTCGCTGGATACGGTGGTAAGTCAACCAACTGCTAACTAGCCAGCGAGGGATTTAAGCGCGGCGGAGCGGACGGGGAGCCATTCTTTCCACTCCCTATAGTCGTATGTATCAGGTTTTGCTTGAAATTGATATAGTGTGCCGCTATTCCCCTTGCCCCAACACCCTCTGGTTGTATGTCACTAGGTTCTTCAGGTGAGTAGTTTATCTGACTCACTATACCTAGGAAGTATCAAGGAAGTCTGAAAATTCAAAATTCATAGAAAATTCCAATTAATCTCGTGCATCTGTTAACTAATAATTTTTTCCGTGTGTTTCTTGGGGTTTCTGGTCATGAAAAGGAAATCATTAAACTCTGAAACTAACCACTGGAAGAGACTGAATCACAAACCAAGTGAAATCGTTTCACTCATGTACACTTAAAACAACTTTACCCTTCGCTTGTCTAGTACCAACCTTAGCGAATGCCTTTTCGAACTCCTCAAGCTCAAATGTACTATCGAGGACTCCATGGCACTTCCCTTGCAATACCAAATCCGTAATTTTAGCAAGCTGTGTCCCGTTCGGTTCCATAATAAAGAAGAAATTCCTGACGTTTTTCGCCGTGCAATTAGCTGGTTTCTTCTCCTCGGGTGATTGCACGATGCTGATTAGCGTACCCCCATCTTTCACACATCCCCAGGCGTCCTTCAACGTCTCATTGCCGAAGCAATCAATTACCAAGTCAGCCTTTCTCTTGTCGTCAACAGCAGCCCAATTAGTCAATGTTGTCGTTCTGTAATCAACCACTTCATCCGCCCCCAGGCCACGGACGAATTCTACATTCTCACTTCCACACGATGCAGAGACACGAAGCCCTGCAATCCTGGCGAGCTGGACAACCCACAATCCAACTCCGCCAGATGCAGCGGTAATGAAGACCCTCTTATATTTATTTGCTGCATTTTCAGGCCCACCTAGCCCGCCCTGAATAAACAATGCTTGCCAAGCGGTCAATGCGGACAATGGGATTGTTGCTGACTCGGCCCAGGATAGATTGGTTGGCCGGTGCGCAATCTCCGAGGTCACCGCAATGGTATAATCGCGGGCACAACCCGGTCGCTCGTAATTGGTGCGAGCGTACACTTGATCCCCAACTTCAAAGGGGGAAGACTCTGGTGCAATTACGACTGTTCCAGCAAGATCGTAACCAGGAATAATCTCCGTCTTTCCGGGTACTGGGAATAATTTGGGCCAAAGCAGCTCTCTGGCGCACAAAGCGGTTGCGTGGACGCGTATAAGGTGCTCCTCGGAATTTGGTTTGGGCACTGGAATAGGGCGCTTTATGAGGGTGAGAGTATCCTTTCCCACATCTTGCCAGAGAGATCGGGCAGTGGGCACGGAGGACTGATTTGCCATGTTTTCGAGTTTGACAACGGTGGTGGATGTTATATATGATGCTGTGCCTGGGTTTGAAATTGAAGAAATTGAGAATATATGGAAGCTGATTGAGGATATATGAAACCTAGGCCTTTAGGCTAGCTTCAAGTAACTACCCTTGAATGGGTGGCTTAGCGCGCAGAGAAGAGTAAGCAACCGAATGGTAACCGTCTACAAAAAAGATAATATGATTATGAAAGCAAGAACCGATGGAAACAAATGAAGCACATTACCCCTAAAGACCCCTTGTAGTTTGTTAATCCTCTCACAACTATCATAGGGGAAATACGGTATTTCCCCCACTAGAGAAGTTGACGTCATTACCCGAACCTTAAACTCCGCATGGCCCGGATACCCCGCATTTTGGCCCGCATACTTTATTTTATTCCAGCCCCGCCCGTCCATTGTCATTGTGGGCCGTGGCTACGGAGTGGTAATAGTGACAATGTTCATCGACATATGGGTGAAAAACAATTAACGCTCGTATCAGCCATATATAGCCGTATGTTTCTTTGACATGTTCTCAAATATTGTATGATATTCAATTAACCACGAAAAAAGCTGACAGAGCCATGAGGCTAAGAACTTCAAAAAGAAATTTTGATACCGACGAAAGTGTAGAGTTAAAGTATCTCTTTGGCCAAAGAAATGTTCTCCTTTTAAGAGGATACGATAAATGTGACATTTGAGAAGGTTCAATAGATTTTTGTGCCTTTGAGTCTCTTCATATGATGTGAGGCCTAATGACCGAATTAAAAGCAGGGTGACTGTATATCCATATTCGTATTATTAGCCATACATTTACTTAACTCTATCACGTTCATTCAAATGTGAGTAATCATTTCAATAGCTATCAACATTGACAATTGATTCATAAGAGAAGAGGGGGTAAAAGCAAAATAGGTGCTAATGAAGGCGATGATTGAAATTAGATGTGAGGTGAGATTGAGGGACATACTTACCCGACAACTTCATCATCCGATAATTTGACGGCGTAATCATCCGGGATCATTCGTTTAAGAACTGGAAACCATTGTGAAGAAGAAAAAGGCGTCAAATAAAAGATTCAACGCCAACTCATCCAAAATCAGCCATGGTATCTTTCATGTCTGCCCAGACGCTGAGATTTTAGTGGTGGAAGTGGAGAACTCTTCAGGATCTGGCACCGAATCAGAAGTAGATTGAAAATCAATCTTCTGGAGAGTGAAAACCTCTCGCGCATTCAGTTTTACTTCATACAGTGTTTTGCGGCCTAATGGCCAGATCTTTTCGTGTGCCTTTAGAGCACCTATGTTGACTCGAATGAGTTCCTTGATTTCACGGCCCGTGCCAATGTTGGCATCGAATATACAAACGGATAGCTACGCGATTTCTGAGAGCGCCACCATGCATACAATGAATTGGGATTGCTCACCAAGGGGGGTCGGGAGAGCTAGCAGTTTGGAAATCTTTTCGGCGGCGTTTAACACTTTCACGGTGTGCAGCTGGTAGGCTTCCTGAGCAGCATGGGTGAGCCGCTGAGGTAGTGGAGGAGGTGCGCATTTGGAGATGTTTTCCGTAGTGTTGCATAAAAGCTTTGAGCAGGGACGGTGAAGATAGATAGTTGTTCTAGGGGTTGTCACTTGCCAAATACAAAAAATAAATAAATAAATAAAACAGACTTCTCAATGGAATAGGAGGACCCGATTGCGAGAGGCAAACTCAATATTACTCACGTTTGAATCAGCATATGTGCGAGGAATAATATTGGATCTACCTTTCCTTTACTAGTTACCAGCTCTCGCTTGACATCGGACAGATGGAATACCCAAGATATCAAACCGGAATTTGCATGGTCAACTGCTGGATCTATTGGGTTACCATTATCGGAGCCAACCGCCAAAGCAATGCCTAGAATACGTGAAGCATTGATTAGATAGGCAAATGAAGAGAACACTACATCAACCGCATCGAATTCCCCATCGTCAAACTCAAGTAGAGTCCTTGGTCTTGGGATATTCTGTCAAGGGTGGATTAGCGTATTCCACTACACAACCACACCAAAAAACTGTAGTATTACAGGATTACCCATCCCTGAATGGAAGTCCTCCTCCTCCCACGGCAGCTCAACATCAGTATCCACGCTCCATAGCACGAATCTTGGAGCATGGCAGTTGCCTGCATATAGCGAATCAACGACGTAAAGCAGCCACCAAGTCCTTCTCCAGATCTCTTCCAGAACAGGGTTCCCCTCTCAGTACTGGAAGGCGAAATTTCGGGGGTGTAGGTCAATCTCCAAAGCCAAGCGGCTAGCAATATCCAGTATTTCTCGTGCACGCACCTCCTCGTTGTTCCAATGCACAGCGGTAGAGTACAACGTGAAAGCTTGTACTGATAAACCGTTTTTAGGTAGTTCTGAGGAGAACAATAAAGTCTTCGACAGGCTTTTGAAGGCTCGGGAAACGGGCAGCAGCCACATAACGAGCAATGTATCGCATGACTGCAACCACAGCTTCGAGAGATTTCCCGTCAACCTACAATCGTTCCGTTCCAGGAATTGCTGCTTAGGGAGGATCATCGGATGTGGTTCGTGGAAGAAAGAATAGTAGCATTCAAGAAGTCGGTCTAGTATTGGTGAATTCAATGGTACCAGGTTTCCAAAGCCGGTGCCCCCTTCCATCACTCCTGTACTATCTGAATCGTTGTCCGTTGGGCCACTGATGTGCTCCCTTAAAGACGAATGGTTGGAATCCGATGCTTTGGGTGGTGACTTTGTGACCGAACTATGGACATCACGCGATGTAATCTTGTTGTGCCCTCCTCTCCGAGATTGCATATATTTGCATTGCCTGTCATCGAATTTGCGTCGGGAACAGCTTGGTAAACCAGAGTCGCACTTTACATGTCTATTACGGCACGGAAGGCAAACTAAGGAGACACGCTGCCTCATTCTAAACTCAGTTTCGAGTCCAGTTTCCATCAATGCAACGGGAGCGGAAGCTTGCCCTTCTCCACGACTATCCTGCTGCACCAAGTAGCTATTAGGTGAAAGCAGCCATTCCGAAGGTCGAAACGGCTCTTGATTAGTATTTAACATTGGTAAAGCGCCAGGGAACGACATCCTAACATTATTGGGTAATTGGTCTGCGTTAAGGTAGGAATCAAAGTTTGCTGGCTGATTCTTCCGACTGACTTCACAATTCTTCTCCGCCAATTGTTCGGAAAGGGAAAAGAGGACAACGTTCTTACTGCTTTTAAATAAAAGTGGGGGGGAACATTATAAGAATCTCAGACAACCTGTGACTTGTTCCCTTGTTCAAAATGGCAAAGCTCGTTATCACCGGATCACTGCGCGAATCGATGAATTGCTGCACTCTTGCACCAAAAAGAAACAGAACGTCAGCAACTTTAGATATCGTAGTATTAAGGGGAATCACTTGGAAATCATTGCTAAGTTGACCGACGACCATTCGAAATCAAGACGACTATTCGTGGCAAAAGCGAATAATAAAAGCAAAAGGAAGGCATTGCAATACCGTTTAGAACAGCTTGAAGGTGAAAAACAATCCGTGATTTCTCGTAACAAAATTTGGTCTGGAGGAGAAATCGGTGGGAAAATTCAGGCATACGATATTTATGGAATCATGATTGCTCATGGTATATCCCGTGCGAATATAATGCGATACTTCCGTCCTGAGTCGCTTTGCATATTAGGGGATATGGGGAAGGGAAAACAGCACATAAATGTCTGTCATGCATTAACTCCTTGGCCCACGACGTTTGCAGGAAGATGTTGAAGGGTTTGAAGACAGCCTAAAAGGCTCCATGGGATGGACATCTTCTCCATCCCAGCATCAACCTGCCGGAAGATCCAATGCTGAAAGGCAAGGATTGCTCCTCGGCGAATTCGTCAAGCTTAATGTTTTGTGCACAGACGGGAAATTCGCGTTTGGATCGAAACCCCGTTAAGTAACTGCACATTCAACCATTTCCCTAGGAAATCCTAATCCAATATTAGAATAATCCGTTTCTTAAGTTAACTAAGCCGCTGAAATACTAATCCGCGGGAAAAAAGACGTTCTTTTCCAGGTTAAATAGTAGATAAAACATCTAAACCGTGCCTGTATGCTTGTTAGTTAGTTACACATAGGATTTTCCTATTCTAGTATAGCACCAACTCATTTGCAACCCTTGCAAAACTTCTACCCACGATAGACCTTAAATTTGATCGCTCTAGGGCGAATCTTGATGTTAATGGCCAAGTCGACTAGCTAAGAAACGGTAATTGTTTCGGGATTTTGGATTTTGATGACTGGATTCTCAGAGATGAATTGACAGCGGATATGCGGTCCCTCATAATCCCTTATTCATTTCAATCTTTCCTAGCATACCATGTTTGCGTCTCTTCTGTATAAAATGCCCATTGCGAACGCCAATTGTCTTCCCTCCTTGCCGTATAAATATTACATCCACGCGGTACGGTATAGAGGCGGTTGGAGCCACTCTCCCACACGATATTACCGTCCGTTTCCTGACGAATATATTTATATTCGAACTTTTGGCCTGCACTCAATGTAATAGTTTTATACCACAAATGGTTGGCATCGGAATACTGGTCCGCAGAGAGGGCAATTGCAGATCCAGGTGCCCAGGACCCGAGCTCTGGAATGGAGCCGACGAGGAGAATCATCTGGCCAAATAAAGTTGTAGCGATTTGATTGAATGTCACGTTGACAGAGCCAGGGGTGACGCATGGAAATGATGATGTGGTGGAAGCTGTGGAAGTAGATGTGGGCGTCGCCGTTCTCTTGATAGGTGTGAGGTTCGACGGCCAATTAGTATTAGTTGCTGTGATGTAAGGCCCGGTCGCTGACGTAGCTTGACAAGTTTTCGGGATGCCGTTAGCGTCGGTCTCTCCCCAAGGATCTGGGACAATTGAACTACGTCGGGCAATAGCCGTAAGGAACGAGGCGTATGACCATGTCAAATCACCTGCTGACAGAGGGGTCCCAGTGTCCCGGGAGAATTGCTCGGCCAGAGCGCCGGACTCTGGGGTGTATTTTTGCTAGATAAAATGATGACCACGTTAAGTATATTGCTCCAAGAAGAAATCAACACGGATTACTTGACAGTGGGTCAAATTTAGCTTACCGCAATAGCTAGGAATCCATCTGCATAATTTCTTACAGCCTCTATTATCGACTTGAAAGCTGAACTGGAAGACGAATAAGTTCCAATCATGGCAGAACCATAAACATCTCGAAAGAAAGGAAGTGACACATTGGTAATCGAAATCGAACCAATCCTTTGCCACTGGTAAATAGCATCATACAACTGCTCCGCTGCGGCAAAGGTACTCAGATACCAGGGGTTCCCGCCATAGTAGAGATCTTCAGGATATCGACCGACCGAAACGGCTGAACCTGCTGGGATACCAGAATTCAAAGCATATAGAGAACGGAAAGCATCTGTTACCACCTTATGGTTTGCCAGTGATTTAGCGGAACAAGGTTGGAAAGTCGTGTCATCACAAGCAGCCTCAGGGTCAAATGTGTGAATGCTTGCGAGAATAGAGTTAGTGTCTTTACCAGACCTACCACCGCCGGTATTGGAATTGATATAGGAACCCGTCCAGTAATTCTGCAGAGAACAGAGAATCTGAGGAGCTTGGGATTCGCAGTTCCGGCAGGTGAGTCCTAACTGACGTGCAAGTCTTGCGCCTTCAACAAGAGCGCGATGCTGCACCGCTGTTGTAAAAAAGGACATGCTGTTTATCTCCTCCCAGAGATCTAAATGAAGTCAGCTCCCAGAAATCTTACAATGGATATCAGTATATTCATGCATACCATAGCCAGAAAAGCTCCAGAACTGGCTCACATAAGAAAGGTCGTTCTGGACCACAGGCCAAACTATCGATTTCGCAGTATCAGAGTACCCATTTGCCTTGGAGTCACGTTAGCATTTATGTGTAGTGATATACGGTCGGGGAACTCACAACGAGCCATCTCGCATAAGAAATCATAGCAGTTGCCCTCAAGGCAGGTCCATCTCTTTGGGGTCGACCCCAGTCACCATTGAATGGTGACATGTCGACATGAAATTTAGGTTCACCAGGGCCACCCGATGAGAGCCCTCCCGAAGGATTAGACACTGTCTGAAGGCGGGCTTGTGAGCTGATAAATTCATGAAGTTTCGGTTGAAGACCAGTGTTCCCGGAAATAAAGGCATCCACAAGGCCTTTGAATACTAAGGCAGCATCTCGAGTCCAAGTAAAAAAGTCTGGAAGTGTGTTAGCTGATAACTGCAAATAAGCGGGAGGTAATCTTTGACATACAATCAGGGTCGCTTTTGCTAGGGCTTGCAATGACAATACCAGCAGCTGCACCTTTTGCCTTTGTACCATCTGCTCCAATATTGGCTAGGAGCGCCTGTAGGGCATACGGGCTTTCCTTTGCAATCCACGCATCTAATGAGCCAGTGGCTTTTAACCCAAGTGGATCTTGGGATTGAGCCTGCACCACCCGGAACAACGAGAGCACCCAAACAGTGCAAAGAAAAAAGGCAAGCATTGAGGGTAATTCAACCGGTAAAGTGTTCGAAGAATTGGCGAGCACCAGAGGAGTGGACAATTACTGATCTTCCGCTCCAGTGACTATTAGATAATGGGCAACTGGAAACTCCACGGTCTCGAAGCAAGGCGATAATAGATAGTTAGCTAGTGTGAGTTGAATATTTATTTCAATGTTCCACTTTGACATATTCCCACAGCACAATCTCAATGACCAGCGGTCTTCGCGATGATAATGCGAAATCCCAAGATAAAGGAATTGGGTTCTGAAGTAGGGGCTTGAACCTGGTAGTTATATCTCCGACTGCGTAAACAGTTTCCACGTGCTTCTGCAGACACATCCTCTTCAAGTTCCCAGCTGTGATCTGCAACCAGAAGTGAGAATCTGGTCATTGAAAACCACTTGTCGGAAAAGTGACGGTAGGTCAATGTAACTATTCTCGGAGTCTAACTTGGCACAGAACCTACTTTACAGCTGTTACGATGATAGTGCTGCAGCGTAAAATCTGAGGATAAACAAACATGAAGAAGATTAGCCATGAATCAGGTAACTAACTTAGTAAACCTATTAACTATATGGATTAACTTGTAATTATTATCTTAACTAACCTTTGGATTTCAAATGTTGATTCCTCTCATCGGACCTCCCTTTCACTCACTACATTCATATTTCAGTTGATTTCTTCATTATTTAGTTCTTTCTATATCAATTTTCTTATTAAATTGAGCTATATTGAGATAGCTGTCGTTATCAAAAACATCTGATTCTATCTATCTATATAACTAACTATATATAAGCAGTCTGAAATTCATGAATCCCATATTTGTATCCTTTTGTATGTTCTAGCTAGATTCACCAACTTAGCGAGACCTAGTTAGTTAACTATACGGAGTTTGGTTAGTTAAGCAAAGGCCATTAACTACCCCCATTATCGGGGCTTCTTAGTTAAAGTTTAGGCTCTATCAAACTCTTAACCCCCTTTTCTAACTAACGTCTACTCTATCACCCCTGCGGAATACGCCGGATGATCAGTCAGACATTGAATACTCCCGTTAATTCTGCGTACCTTGTCACGGCATTTCTATCGTTATGGGAGTGACTCGTATATAATTTAGCAGGTTTCGTCTTAATGGGAACCGGGAATAAAGCAAGCAATATCCGGTCTCCCGCGCTGTAAGCCAACGCTTTTTGACGAGCAGAGTTACATTCCAGAACCGACTTCACTGCGCTTGTGCCCAGATACCCGGATGCACCCCGGATTCTTATGCTACATTACTCCGCAGGTATCCTTGCTGACGAGGCTGGTACAGACTGCCCACGTGTTTAAGTTGACATGAGAAAGATCATCGCGCGAGAAATCAGGTCCCGTCAGTGATACTCCCGAGATCCTAACAAGACCAGAAGTGTTGAAGCAACCGGAGACAGAGGGGGTTGTCGTTGTGTCTAAGGTATGAACGTCTATTATTCAATACCTTTTTGTTAAGGATACCAGGAAAGGAACGTCTAAGACTTCATGTCATGAAGTTCCCTTTCCTTGAGGCTTCAATCTCTGCTCTTGTTGTGATACGAACAGTGATTGCTGTAACTCCAGTAGAATGGCATTCGAAATCGATGTATTTCCTTCTCACAGACCGTTTCGGAAGGCTGATGGATCTACCACTGCTGTGTGCGACACTAAAACTCGACTAAGGAACCTTTATCTTACTTTCAATGGCATTCATCTTCCAGTGATCATGGGGCATACCTAATCTAACATCTATATATATATATATATATATACTGTGATGAATTTTAGCTGGTAATCATTTCAAATGGACCTCTCTTGCTCATCCAGGTCTCCCTAGACCATTTTCCTGAAAATTGGAAAGGCTGGTTACATCCAGAACATGGGATTCACAGCAATCTAATTTCTCATTTCTCGAATCAGCACTCTCAGCCAGCCAGCTATGGGATCTCCTTCCATGGGTATTAGCAGCGAGACATGTGAGCAGAAGATCTATAATGCCCCAAAATAGGGATTCAGTCACATCTCTTTATGATGGTTGCCTAGCTGGTTGAGTCTTCATAATAGATACGATGTGGAACCTCATTCATGGATCTCCTGATGACCTTAGGGCACTCAACACTGGAATTCACCATCGTGGGATGTATCTCATGGTCGATGCAGTTGCGAATCGCATGGTAATACCAGAATATATGCACCCTCATCTGCCTGCCTGCCTTGATCCTTATGTTTTCTTAGGGTTACGCTGGTCCTAGTCATCATGTCGATTACAGTCGAGTCGTTCAGTTCAATAATAACAGCTATTTTCACTCATATTGCCCCATCACGAATTATGATGACCAAGCCAATGTTGAGAACTGTTGTCTTGGGGATGATACGCTGTCGTTTCCAGACGTTGACACCTCAAGTCCAGCTGTTGGGGGGCATTTTCAACAGCTACGTTTCTGTGCTTGTTTCCAAACACTCCGGCACCTTAATCCTTTCCTCCTCGCCTTACTCATCGGCCCATCCAGTATTGAAATCTTGGAACTGACAGTTTCCTCAGTCGACTGTCTTCGAGTTGACACCGTAAAACATGTACAAAAACCATTCTAGGCACGCTTCAATGGTGTTGCCTGTGTATATTCCATGGGGGAAGTATTACAGAGAGATCATTTTTACAACACGCTTCTTTGTTCACGACTGAGCAATCAGTTTCTAGATTATCCTCTAGAAGCCTTCAGGTCTCCTCGTGCAAACATCCAGAGTATTTGCGATATGATCAACACAGCAAAGAATACTTGTGCAGACTCTTCTCTCCCGGGAACCGTCGCTGAAAACCACAATAACCACAATACCCCAAGATTCGCAAGATGTAACGAATCCTACCCCATTTCTCCAAAAATAAATAAAATAAAATAAAAATAAAAAAGCTCTGTTACCATCAAGTCAATTACACCAATGACATATCTCTGGCCCAGAATGTGCTAGTCTTTACAATACTCGCGGACTGAATTCCAATAATTTATGCTGGCCAAGAACAGCGTTACGCGGGTGGAAATGATCTACCTGGCTATCCCACTATAATACAGCACACTATATCAGCTCACTACAAAAACCAACAACATGAGAAGGCATCATCGGATGATGCCAATTATCTTACACGTAAAGTACGCATCCATCACCAATAGGTATACCCTTGGCCCTGACCTGAAAGCTTTTTGCAAAAATTGCTGGGTCAAGATAACTATTTACCAAGCCAGCAGTAGGATCGCGGTTTTGATGGCAAGCAAGTCATCACTATTCTTTCTAGCCTTGGTTCCTCCGACTCGTTTTACACATAGAATCAGGGTGGAACGGCTTACGCGGCCGGTATGAAAATTATGGACATTTATTCGTGTCAGGCTGTTGCCAGTGGATTCAAATGGGCGGTTGCCGGTGCCTATGGCTCTAGGTGAAACGAGGATTTTCTTTGTGAGTGAGAGGCTTGCTGAGAGCGGGTTATGTCAATGAGAGGGGTTGGGAAGTGGGGCTGGGGCTATAGTAGAAATGTGTGTATATAAAATTCGCAATATGTAAGTGGAGCTGTGCGGGTGCTCAGGATGTATAGAGGTAATTAATCTCAGTTAACTATAGGTTGATTAAGAATTTGAGAATTGATATGACTGATTCTCAGACATAGAAGAAATTGACCAACTACCTCTAGAATACCACTTCAAACAAGCAAGATGGATGCAATCGTTTATCAACATGCAATTACGGATATTGAATGGCTACTCTAACATGACAACTCCAATATATTTTGAGCAAGACAGATCTTTCCTCCAAAAATAGTCATTTTTGTAATTGCCCAACACCTGCACCAGTTTGAACAAAGAATCTAGCCAGATGGAACTAGTGGATAAAAGGAGAAAAGAAGAAGTGAGCTGATAAAAAGACAACAAAGGATCTTCTTTCAACACCTCAATTAGGTATCGGTCATGTGGAATCGTTGATACTCTTTCAAGGTTGATGCAAATTTGACCGGAGGAACTTTTCCATGTCAAAGAACAACCAACCGAACGAACGTCATTATTTTTCGATATAATTTGTACGGTTCAGAGAAAATTAGAGTATCGTACCAAACCTACAGCAAGAAGCAAAGAGGCAAAGAATGCAATGGTCAGTAAATTTGTCCAGGAGTGTGCAAATGTCGATATTGAGAGCGAAGGACTATCAGAGAATGACCCAGGGCGTTGGCAGTCTGGATAATTGTATGGGAGTAAAGGGGTGAGAAATGAAAGTATCAAACGTACCCAAAAGTCTGCTTAATGCTTCGAACATAGTACCCTTCCCAGTTCCGCTTGACAACCTCTTCCTGCCCTACAGGGACACCCTCCCATTCAACACGCATGTTGGTAACTTTGTCCACATCATTCTGATCAAATTTGATTTCAAGCGTGGAATAGTGACCCTCGGGCCACTGGGCAAGCCTCCATTTCTGAACAATATTTGTAGAGGGCTCTATCTTGACATATTCACCCTCGACGTTGCCATCGAAGATGGAGAATTTGCCGCCAGCCTTCGCACCGTCAAACCGTCGAGGAGCGCCACGAGTGAAAGCGGCAATACGCTGAGGATCGGTGAAGGTTGTATAGAGCTCTTCTGCTGTTGTGCGGAATTCGTCTGTGGCAGTAACAGTTGTAGTATTAACGGTAACTGCACCGGTGGTTGTAGCGCTGGGTGTGGAGGTACTTGGGGCTGGCGTGGTGGTCTTGGGTAGGTGTGCAGGAGTCGCAAAGCCACTCGAAGGGTTTGATCCGGGTGCATGCTGGATATCCTTCCCATGTTCGGTAATCAAAGCAGCACCTAATTTTGCCAACTCCTTGCGAATTTCAGGGACGAGTTTAGAGCGCACAAGGTCTTTCACCGGTTGCTTCGAGGCAGATTCGGAGTAGATACCAATATCAAACTATTCACATTCCTCGTTTGTTATAAAACGGGTCATCAATCTACAAGAGAAACGAACATGATCAAGGGTCTAGCTAGGGAACGTACGACATACTGGTCTTCCTCGGTGTCGTGGGCGACCTCCGGGATGTGGATTGAGCCGCTTACTTCCTCACCGTCGCTCGTCTTACCTAGTAACAGCCAAGCTCAGCTCACGTCTATCCACACAATGGGGTCAAAGCCGTTGATAGAGAGGTGTGCTAACCTTCATACTCTAATTGTAGTTTAACATCAAATAATGTGATAACCTTGCCTTTCCGTTGGCTGACATCTACGTCGCCATCCATGCTGATGACTCTTTTTATCTGAGCAGTCACCCCATTCTCCTCTGCAGAGATGGTAGAAAGCGTCTTTTGCAAGTAGTCCTTGGTCCACGTAGAGGCATCCTTGTTCACCCAGTGCCAATTGTTAGGATTGTGGAGCACCATTATTATAAATTTTTTGGCAGGTGGTCGGAATTCTTTCTATTTCTCTACTATTGTATTATTCTGACCCTAGAAACGGGTTGTGATAATGGCCGTTGGGGAAGGTTCTTCACCTATAAAATTCTGAGGAATTGTTAGTTCTGTTCAACGAACAAACCAATACAACAAGAGGGCAAAAGCGTGGGAGAAAACAAAACATCAGAAACAAGGCTATATAAGCCATTGCAAAGCTAATCCGCAACAAACAGAGAACAAATCTTTCTAGGACTGGTGCCAGCTAAGAAGTCTCATCATAGAGCCGAAAACGTAGAGAATGAAGAGCGGGGGAAAAACACTCACAGTTGAGACAATGGTAGTGGATTGAGGAGCTGCTGTAGAGGAAGTTGATCAACACCCTGACTGTATAAGAGAAAAGACAGACTGAGACTGGATAGAGAAGCCGTCCTGACAGTTGTTTGAAACATGCGTGGTGGAAGATTTTACTGTTTGGAATTTCACGACAGGCAAAGTTTGGAAAGCTCTAGAAGAAAGCAAAGGAGAGTCTGAAAACAGTGAGATCACATGATATTAATGTAAGCGATCACCGAGTTGGCCACGTCCCTACATATTCAAGAAATCTTTAATTTTATCACTATTATAATGAATTATACATATATAATTATTCCTTAATTCTATGGACATGCAGGGGCTTTATGTTCCATACTATGACATTTGCTGCAATGTACTAGTACCTGCTTTTTAGGAGACTGATTTGAATTTTTCATCATTATCTTTGTAGCTTGTTGAACAGCTTGAGTCCTCCTTTCTCTGCTGTTAGAATACCTTGCTGAGTGTTATAAACATGTCCTCATCCTCACTTGCATTTTTGCTTCTCATTTGCAGTCTATAAGATCTTGTTTTTCTATGTCAGAATAACAGCACTATGAATGACTAGCTGACACTTTAAAATCAATTGATATAGTTTGATTGACTAGAGGAACTTTGTATACAATGCTTGATATATTGCTTGATATTGTTAAACTTATATTCTGATTGAATCACATTATAAGAAGTCTTCAAGGTTCAGAACAATTGAGATCTATAAGCAGTTTTACAAGAGATAGATATATATAATTAACAATATAAGTATATAAAAATCTTTTTTAAATTGTATAGCATTAAGTTTATAATTTTAAATCTATTTTAATAGTCATATTCTTCAATATCTTCTTTTTAGCTGTAGTATGTAGACTCTAAAACTTCTTTTTATCAATATAATTGATGTTAAATTTTATGTTTGATTCAATTTGTTAATCATATACTCTCTTTAGTAAAAACAAACTTACATCAAGTAGCTATAATAGATAAAAGAATAAAATCACATATATTAACCTATGGTAACTTAAGTTAGTTAACTAACTAGCTAACTAGTTAACTACCTAGTTAACTACCTAGCTATGGTTGGTGATTATATTATCATCAGTCTTGTGAAGATGTAATAACTAGAATAAACTGACTATCCAAAGTTGTTTCAAAAGGCACACAGGCTGTTACAAGAAAGTCATGTGATAGGCGACTGTCTGTACAAGAGTCGACCAGAAAGAAAGATTAGGACGTAAATTGGGTATCTTTGAGGTTAACAAAGAGTTGCAAAGGAGACGTCACAACCTCTTTGCAGAAAAATACATGGCATAATTAAGTACTTCAAAAATAAAAATAAATGAAATAAAATAAAATAGATAGTAAATACAAATAAAAATGAAGAAAAATTTATTAACCCCATTTTAGGATTCTTCGAACATCGTATCATCCCACCCGCCTTGGGCCAGAAGATCTTGCTGCACACGCGTTTTAACGCACCCAAGCTGCTTGCCTAGAGCCTCATCCCATTGCTGTTCAACCATTACAACTTTGTCCTTCAGATCAGCAGTCAATCTCCTTTCTTCCTCCTCACTCGATTCTTTCATTTCGCCCTGGATGCACTCTCCTGGCTCACCAGATATTATGCGCTGCACCTCCATAACGTTACAATTTGCCTTCATGAGACTAGTTTTAACTTCATGGAGTAGGCAAAGCAGATTGGTTTGAGATTCGATGAACTGGTAAGTGGACTTTTCGGCGTGAGAGAGAAGGGAGTAGAGGTACTGCAGGGGGAACTGGTAGTAGCTACGGTTTTCGGTATACTCCTTCGCAGGGATCTGGACAGTAAACGATCGAAGGTCCTCGGGAATTTTCTGGAGGACAGTGACGAGAGAGGGTGCAATATCCCAAAAGGCTGAAAGCTGAGTCTCCACACCCCTACCGACGTTTTCCTCGATGACTTCCATGAAACTTTCGAAACGCCGCAGCGTTTCCGTGGCGAACGTCAGCTTCCGGTTTCGTTCGTCTTGTAGGAAGAACGAGTCTGTTTCGAGAAGCTTCTCTTGGTTCTTAGCCTGCTTGTATGGCAAAGTAACGATGGCTCGATAGCGCTCATTACGTTCGCTTTCAAGCGCGTACACCTCTCGATGCAGCTGCTCAAGAGCTTCAAAAAGCCATTTAAGTTGTGTCAGCTTTTCCAGCAACTCTGGTCGTTCATCCCCTTCCTCCTGTGTTTGATTGTGAGTTCCATCCTGCGTTGAATCAACCAACTTGCTTCGGAGGTTGTCAATACAGGTGGACGCAATCTCGATACGGTCCTTGAGGATAATCTGTAACGGTTGGAACACCACCTCTTGAAAAGAATCGAATTCTGCCTGAACCAACTCCTTTTCCCGCTTCTGTTCTTCGACAAGATGGACTGCCTCCGCCTCAGCAGCTTCTGCATAAGATAATGTCCCTTGTTCGATGCGGTTATTCATATTTGATCTAAATGCTCGTCGAGATTCCTTCATTTTCATTTGATGTTCATGCTGAAGTTTTTCAAGCTTCACTTTGTGGCTTTCCTTTGTTTCTTGGACTTCCGTAAGATCGCTTACGGTTCTCACAGTACTACGAAAGTATAAGAGATCCGGGTGACTGTTATTAACTGCAGGATAGTGCCTGGGGTATGGTGGCGGAAGTGTAACGAATCTTGAGATATCAAGAGTCGGGATCTGACAATCAAGAGAATGTGAACCCATTGGTGCGGGAGGGACAGAAGGCTGCCTTTCCCCCCAGCCGACTTTTTCCGGAGGATATTCATCTGGTCCATACGTAGCAGAAAAGCTGAAAGCCGGAGGATTGGTTGGCGATAGATTCCCGTCAATTACTCCTGCTGAAAAGTGCTCCAACTGCATCGCTTCACGCACTTCTCGAGGGACGCCCATGTACTTCGTTTCCTGTTTGGATCGTCGGATCTTTTTTCCAGAACCACCACTGTCAGACCCAGTCTGCGACTCCCACCAGCGACTGGGAGCTCTCCCTCTGGAACTCATTTCATCATTGTTTATGCTTATGCTACCAATTGGAGATAGTGACGGCTTGTAGTTATTCCACCAGCCAGATTCCGCCCGTGATTGTCGAACGTCAGACGAAAGGAGAATCGACGGAGCTACTCGAGTACTTATGCGAGTTGGTGGAGGGACATCTGTTGGGGCACTATTGTGCTGTGTGGAATCCGGTCGGAAAATCCTGTCACAAACCTTTTGTAGATCAAATAAGCCGGTCTTGCAGGTAAGAGCGTAGCGTTGTTGCCGTATACTGAACTCAGATACGATGAAATCGGCAAATAATTCTAAAGCCTCGACTTCAGTGGACGCGGAAGCTTCCCTTTCTATGAAATCGCGATGTCGCAGAACAGCATCGCGGACAAATTCATCATTTGCGTATTCTACCACTCTGTTAGACTGGAGAAGGCCTGGGGACAATTTGCTTGAAATCGATGGCATGTGCTGTTGCGTGCCGTTAGTTGGTGAATCCGGTAGATGTGAGGCAGACCTCTCCTGCTCAGTAGACCTGGATATTGACGTAGAGCTACGCTCCCGAATGGCCTGGAGCGGCGGTGTTGGCAACGCTCTTGGCGGCAGCATCTGGGTCGTAGATCCAGGAAAAGATGGTGACTGCAGGTCATTGCCAGGAGAAAATGGAGGCGTTTGGGCATAACTGCTTGACTGACCAAAATTATCAAGAGATGGCGTTTGTGGTTGTTTGGGGGTGAATTGAGCAGAATCAGTTGATGGTAACAAGACAAACGGAGATTTAGAGATGGAACTAGTCAACTGGCCATCTGACTGCGCGGTTCGTGGGGTTCGAGGAGTATGTTTCGTTACGGTGCGGCGACGCATAAGCCCTGGACCACCTGGATTCCCAAGGACAAGGTCGCTAGGCCAGGAAGGGTCCGATGATTCATCCTTATTACTGGAATCAGAATTTGTTGTCCCAGAAGCTTGCTCTTTCCTGCTCTCAATTCTGCGCTCTCTAATACCCTTGGCGCTTATGCCTCTGGTAGATGGGGGGTCGTCTCTTCGGGGTATAACTGGAGCTGGGCCTTGGCGATGCCGAGTTAAGTGAGCCAATTCGTCAGAAGGCGCGTAATTATTTGCGTTTTGTAGTAGAGAACCCACACGCTCTCTTGAATTTTCTGAGCGTCTGTTCGCGACGAAGGCTTGATCGACCCATCCGGCAGGTGTGGGTGGGACTTCACCAAGACTGGTCCCCAATACCGGCGGCGATCTATGCCGACTTGACCGGTTTGATCCTTCTTGGGAAGGGCCTCGAGACGACTCTCTCGATTGGTGAGAACCACCACCGGGTGGTGGCCCAGGAGGGGGAGGTGGGAGCGGCATCCCCGGCTCCCAGCGAGCAGCTTGGTGAGGAAGCCAAGCATATGATGCATTTGCATTCCTACTCGGTCCTATATCACCCGTAGAAGCAGCTCTCTTCGATGATGGAGGTCGAATCGTATTGTCAAGAGGCTGTCTTGACGTGGGGAATCCCATACCGGCAACATTTGTGTTTGCATTGAATTGCAGTACACCTGGTCCACTTTGTACAGCGGATTGTGAATGGTGGCCACTCATATTCGGAGCTTGGACAGATTGCGGCTGAGCATCACCAACAACAACATCACCATTTTGAATCATCGACGCGGGTCGTGGCCGGGATGCAGGGTAGCGATATCCGGAACCCGACTCCAGAGTTATTCCGGAGATTGGGGAGTTGTATTGAGCCGCAGCCGCCAACGGCGAAGCGTTCACACCCAAGGCTAAATTAGGCGATTGGTCGGCGTGTGTCTCCGCAGGTTTTGGATGTCTCGGAGAGTAAGGTGGAGGAGGAATGGATGCGGCATCTGTATTGTGATATTATCAGTCTCCTGCATTTTTTAACTACAATGCGCTTCTAAATACTAATCCTTCACGCGTAACAAAAGAGCGGTATGAAGGCTGTCATCGAAGGGTAAGGAAGCATCACCGTTTGAAGGAACAAACGCGCTCATCCCAACACTGGGAGACACATTTCCTCTAATGGGTCCCCATTCCTGGGGATTGTAAGGTGCGTTGAAGGACACATGTCTTGATGACATCGGCGAAGTGATCGCGCTCAGCTCCCCCGACGAGGTAGTGAACGACGACCGCATCGGGGAAAACGGGCTAGAAAAAGAATTCATCGAGCTCGGAGTTGGCGCGTAACTAGGGCTGGGAGGCAGTCCAGCGCCCTGAAATTGAACCCCGCTCAAGGATGTCGTGAGAGAGGGAGGCTGTGCAACATTATCTCGACGAGGAGGGAAGACCTGCGCGCCGGAAAGGGGCGGAGCGGGAGGGGGAACAATCAAGCGTGGAGGATTCCGATGTGGTTCTGAACCACGCGTCCTGGAGTCCGACCAGCTGATAGGAGAAATTCCAGAATCAGTCTACACCCTCATAGTGGCAGGAGAGAGGAAGAGGGAGAGAACCACATAGACAACGGATTCTAAAAGAGTAAAAAGAATAAGGGGAAATTCACCTATTCATATCGTGATGGAAGAAGTAGCCCCGGCCAGGGTCAGCAGCCACCCCAAAGCGTGGGCTTCACACCAGGAATAGAACAACAATAGCAATTTTCATTAACCAAAGCGTCCAGCACAAAACTAGAAAGTTTCAAATATGGGAATAAGAGTGTCTCCAGCCGTATCTACATCATTCATTGGTGCTCAGGATAGATAATGACGTGAAAACCATTCAGGCACACGGAATCAATAACTTCCTAGAGGCGGGCTCAACGACCATCAATAACTTCCACTAGGCGAGTTATTTTTATTCTCTGCAGCCAAATCCACGCTTGGGGCATCAGAGAGAAACGGAAGCCTCTGAGTGGCCAGTTTGAGAGCCTTAGAATCTGAATTTAGAAGTTCAAGACCGTTGGGCCGCCTGGAGCAGAGTTGGGATCGTCCGCCCGTTCGCCAGTCGTTGTTAAATCCAGTCTCCAGGTGCCTGCTCCCGGACTATGGCGATTTTAGTGAGGTCTGAGAAGAGAAGTCTGCTTCCGTCAATGATCGGCTCGCCTAAAACTCTCTAGTGTGACGACAAGCCTTGAGAAATGGCTGGACTCGCACAGTCGCACTTGGGTAATGCCAGGATGGCTCCCTTCATGCTTCTGCTGCTGGTTGATTGCGTAGCCTCCATCTCAGGAAAGTTGGAAATGCCAAATTGGCTCGATACTGATCCCTGTCAAGCCTGTCCGACGCCAACGTGCTCTGTTCACCAGGCCCCAACAGCCGGTAAATCTCGCCTAGCGTGATCTGGCTAGACAGGCATGCAGCACGAGAACTGGGCGGTTAATCGAAAAGCTGATTTGCCAGCTCTGATTGCTGCGTGGACCATCTGCTATGGTTGGTCAGCCGCAGTTCTGAAATGCAAGAAGAGCACCGTAGTCACTGGCATGTCTTTAAATAGAAGCATGTTAGCATTTATCTACCTTCCATCTTCACCATACCATGAAAACTAGACAACGGTGGGCTCCATAACAACATCTCAATGCTGACTTTTCATTTAATAACTATTGTTCCTGTTCAACGGGTGAGGTTGTACAGTGGGTCTGGTCTGTCTTGACTCTGAAGTTATACAGTATGTATGCCCGGGCGAGAGCAGGTGGAGGCTCCGTAAGCTAGTATTGGGTTGTATTATTGCACCCCTAGCACATGCTCACCCAGGCTCATGCCGGCGTTCTGGTGTGTAATTTTAAAACTCCGTATATTTTGGTAGGGTCACTGGTCACTGTGGTCAGGTCATGTATCGAAGGCCAAGACGTGGTTGTGTCTGCATAGCGGTGCTCCACAAACAGAAATATACTTGTTCTGCAGTGTCAGCTCCAATATAAAACAAGTAACTTCCCACAGGAGATAGAAGAGGCGATATGAGAGTTGGCAAAGATGAGAAGTTGAAAAGTTCATAAACCTGAATTCTGCCATGTAAACCAACTACATGATTCTAGCCGATCAACAATATATTCAAAATGACTACGAAGTAGTCTGACCAAAAAAGCTTCCGCAAGAGCAGGATGCATGATGTGATCTGGCCTGCATCGCCTTGAGCTTATTATCAAAGTGTTCTAATCGATTTTATGGGCATCAAAGGCCAGTCTTCCTGTTCTACAAGTATGCATTAAATGCCTAGGAAGAAAGAAATGTCATAAATTAAAAGTTGAAGACTTTGCTTTGACCTACCCGGTTTTGTCTCTTGTTTGATCGTTTTTCACTGATTTAGTATGGATATCCACGTCACGATGAAGTTGTGCAATATCCCACGCTAATGCCAGTCTTTCTTGATTGGAAGTGATACTCGCGCACAGGCGTGCATGAAACCATCTATTCAACCTACAGACCTGAAATTCCCAGCACAAACAGATTTAAGAAGGTTCTTCGGGAACTGACGTCTGGTGGCTGGGTAGTACGATTCCTGCTTCTGAAGAGAAATGCGCAACATATTCTATCAACAACTTGTACAACCGCAGCCTCTCCACACCGGATACCCAGACATTCCACGCGAAACTCCACTGTCTCACGAGGAAAGAGTGTGACATAGTTATCCGACCAGAATATGGGGGCTATCTCTTTCCCATCTTCTGAATCCAGAGCACTTAACCGCACGAAAATGTCAGGGATATCAGATTCGTTTTGGAGGGTAATGAGAGCATCTCTATCACCAACATCTACACCTCTTTCCAGGAATTGAATCGACTGCTTCACTGACGCTGGGTTAACCTGATTCAGAACTGTGAAATCAGAATACCTGGTGACTGGTGTATGATACCATATAGAGTTATCCCACTCAAGAACGTCCAACTTCCGTGGAATCCAATACACATTGCGACTGATGAGGGTTTGATCTCTTTCCCGCCTCTTAATTCCAGCTTGAAGAGCATCACATCCTGTACCACATCGAGGGCAAGAATCCTGACCACGATTTTTCTTGATGAATGGGGTTGTGAATGGGTTATTGTGCTTCTCCTTGGCGAGGGAATTGCCTCTGATACCAACCGCATCAATGGCTATAGATCGTTTGTCGCTTATTTGCCAAGGAATGGTTGATGATATGCGCTTCGTTTTCCACATAATCGAATGCGACATGTTCAGTCCTCGTGCCCATTTCGGTTCCAAATGATGATCCCATGGGGTTTAAGTGGTAGTCGAATAGACTCCAGTGCATAGTTGGCCAAGCTCCATTTAACATCCAGTATATGCATATGCTTTTTTTTTAATGCGAAAGAAATGTCAGTTCGTGCAATTTTCGCTTGGAAAGATTTGAGAGAAATGTAACTGGAATTATCAGGACTTACCAGTCCAGTGGCCGGACGAGTAGCGCTTTTGCGCACTGCATAGCTTTCAAATTGGGCAAGCGTCGCTTCATAATCCACGGTTTGCACCTTAGTCAAGTAGTCTTCCAAACTCGTGGGTTTTCCCATAACAAGCGCACAGCGCCTCGTAAATCTTTCGATCATCAAAACTTCCCAGCGTCCTGGATAGGTGATACAGGGTTTGGTCTGGTCCTGTCCACAACTCTTCAATTTCCCTCTCAGTGAGGAATTTCTTCAAACTAGCAAGTTCAGGCTAGCCAACACCAGGGCCAAGCTCAGATCCACACCCGAACGCAGCACCAAGCTGGTATCATACCAATAATTTGGGGGTTCCCAGTCGTAGGGTCCCTCCATTTTCATGCCAGACGACCCGACAAGTTCGTGAAAGCCTCTCTGAGCTGCGAAAGAAATAATAGGGGCATTCCAATGCATACGCTCGGGTGATTCGAGAGCTACCATCTCCCTTAATAACTCCTTCGGGCATACCCCTCATGGACTCCGCAACATTGTTCCGCATATCCGTTTTGACCGTAACCTTAACTTCCCGCACTCCGGGCTCAGCGAAATCAGTCACGATGCGCGGAGGAGACGATATTGAAACCAGACCAGTTTGGGAGAGTTCAACATCCCACCAAACACCAGTGCTATTGTCGGGGGGATACGGGTTCCAGTCGATCAAAACCAATTGCAAGATCACGGTCGTAGCAGGTTGGATAAGTTTTAATGAGAAGACAGTCGGGCCCTGCACGTACGTGCTCTGTGACCTCATCATATCTTCGACCACCGTAAGATCCCACTTGAGTGTTCTTCGAGGCAACCAATGCGCCGTTTAAATAAATAGATATCAGCCCTCAACGTGATGCCATGTGTCTGGAGGAAGAAATGGCTATTCCTGCGTGGATCCAGGTCATAGTCTTCCCGGTACAACCACGGCACATGAAACTTCGCCTTGACAGCAATTGCTGTACGACTGAGATTGTCCGAGGAAAACAACTCTATTTCGTCAGACGCCATTCTTTATCAAACCTGCCATCACAGCGCCCCGTGAACCGATTCGACACCAAGATGAAACATCCACCCCGCTCATGGAGAGGGAGCTGAGTTTGAGAGCAACACATTTTGTTGATTGAATATGCCAGCCTGGAATCGCCTTGCGACTTCCAGACGAGGAGACAAGAGGGGAGCACGTTGCGATTGTTATGATGTGAAGCAAAAGTAGTACTACGAGCAGTCTGGAAAGTTTAAGAAAGTGTCTCATGGCGTTGGAACTTTACCCTAACACGGCAGTGGAGAAAGCCTGGAGAGCCTTGTTATCAAACAGTTTCCAGATCCATGTCTTGCATATTTGCTTCAGCCATCACTATCTAGCATGACTGAGGGTAATGAAGGGAACGCGGTTTGACAATGGCCATAGGGTGAGGAATCCCAACCGTCCATTCATCAGCGGTGTAACCTGCATATTTGAACCAAACTTGGAATGTACGTGTAACTGACGCAAGACTCAAACGAACGGAAAATGACTTTTCGAGCGTTAACTTCTAAAGGTCTATTTATCTTTGAAAAAATCCAAATAGGTAACAACCATATATATATATATATACTGATCCTCAAATACTGGTAAGTGACGAGAATGCAAGCGACTCCATATAAGGCTTCTGCAATCTTCATATCTTCGTACGGGCTCCGAATATCGTGGACAACTGCCTTTTGACAAGTGCGCACTCGCAAGGTCATTCCAATATAGGATAAGAACAATCACGGAGTCAGGCAACCTTGAGTTATTCTTATTTTGGTCTTCAGTGACTGCTGGTTCGCCGCATTGTAGCAGGGAACGACAAAAGAGTAGTGCAAGAATTGAGCGTTTAAGGCCAGGGATGTAGTTGAACTTGCAACAGGACATCCCACGTACTTTGTATATCAAGATAAAATTATTGGGTATACACTCGAAAAACAGAGTAATATTCAGATGTTGGCAATAATTCTACATAGAAGTTGTATGCGAACATGCAACTGTCTACGTTTACTTGTTGCCATGTGCGAACAAAAGGCTGCAAGATAATAGACAAACGTCAAATGATGTCTAATATATAGCATTCGAAAGACATTAACCATCCAGCCATCATTCGAGCACGTTAAAAAGGCTCATAACATCAGAGCGCTATCACCAAACAATGGTGACAACGACATAATTACCAAAAGATTATAGGACGGTTCGTCGCATCTTGGGTTACTGAGTAAAACCATTAGCCTCTTAGCCAAAAAGGAGGAATGCCGAGGAAGCAATCTTAAAGAGCAAGGAATGGAGGTGTCAGATATAATGCCCTGTCAAAGGCGGTGGTCATCAATGTATAGAGTATGTTGACCGTCGTGATAAAAATAATACGTAAATCATCATGTAAGGGGTAGGATAAAGGCAAAGACGGGAAGGAATACACACCTCTGTTGTAAGAGCTTGCTTCCAAGAACTCAATTAAGCCTGGATATATCTAGGCGGACAAGTCAGTCCCCACGCATGAATTTTCGACAGAACAGTTGACAACGTTTAACAGTTGGTCAGGCAAATGACGGAATCGTCTTCGTCGACAAAGTCGGCTTGGACATATGCTTGTCTTTTCTAATGTCATATCATCATGGAGATGCAGGAATAGCTTATGGTAAGTCGGACGTACGGTTAGTGGCATCTACTTGCTGAAGGGCCAGACAGAAGAATTCATGGCCAACCAATCTCGCATTAAACCTGCGTTGGTAAAGTCAGTTAAAACCTCATTAAATGCGCATATTTGGAGCAAAAAGGAGCTAAAATATTTTCAGAAAAGCATGAATGGTATTAATATAAAAAAAGGGTGTCTGCATCGAAAACTCGGATAAGACTCGTCATCTAGGAGTTCATCATGTGATAAATGGGTAATAATAAATAAATGTTTACGTACACACCCTTGATCATACTCGACGATGGACAGCAACTAGGGCTGTAATGTATTCTGCTATGCCGGAGGATATTAGAATTTTATCTCGCCATCGGAATTGATATTGTAGGTGGGGTTAAAATGAAAATTCAGTGGGCGAGGTTTTCTAGGCCTGCCACAATATGGCATATCCAATCATAAACCGGGTTGCTGTATCAATGCCCGTCGGAGCCCAGTGCCATTCATCCTGCAAAGGTATAGTTGGAGTGTGACAAAAATAAAAAGGGAGAGAAATGGTGAGCAGGCTCTTACGGGACAGAGCTGGCAGCTTCCACCATACAGATGGAAGTTAGCATCATCCGGATCAGCGAAATGCCATTATCATCTGTTCAATTGGGCAGGTTAGCGGATGCAACAAGCCAGATGAATTGATATTGATGAAAGCAGCACAGGGCACAAATTAGGAATCAGAAATAGCCATGTAATATCGTCAACGACCCGAAGGTTTTCAGCCGGTAATTTCCAGCGTATATTATACGAAAATGATCATCATAAGAAGAAACTGGGACGCAGGTAGAGGGGGAAACATACCTTAGTGATCCTGGTATGAAAACACAGTGGAACTGCAGAGTCGGGGGAGTCCTATGATTCTGTTAAGATGGTCAACAAGGTGCTCATTCAAGCTACTAACAGAGCTGAGTCTCAGCATCGGAACGAATTAAGTCAATATCAGTCTGACGTGCAAAATAGTTTCACACCCCCAGTAGAGGTCAAAGACTCTAGTTTTTGCGGTTATGCGAATCATCACCAAGGCAAAGGAAACGGTTGAGAGTAATGATGCGGATGAAGAACATACCAGATAAGCATAATGACTACTGCAACGCTTGCGGTAGTTGGCAAAGAAGGAAAAGGCATAACATTATCGCCAGATACTCTTCCAGACTCAATTGTCGGCGCCAACTGCTCGGGTTACTGTTTTGTTCCTGTTTTGCTTTGTTCATTGTGGGAGTTGGGGAGGTAAAAGAAATATTATCACCTTTTTTCAATGTTGCGCTTACCGAGGCACCTTTCCTAATGCGGCTAAAAGTTTGCATTGTTTGCATGTCATGGTCATGTGACCAAACATCATCGCTGCTTAGGTAATATTCAATTATGAGGCTGACTTTTTGTTCCAAAAGCTATTTTAGATCGTTGAACGGGGGATATCTGGATTAGCATGCTGGGGTAGAAGTGCACTTCTGTATAAGGATCCCAAAGAGGGTTATGACTTTTTGTGTGCGTGAAATATCCAGACTCATTGTGCCCTGCTTGCATCCACATTTTCGAGCTTCTTGTCTTAGGGTTGGCCACCGTGAGCTCATGTGATGGAGGGGTCCAAGGTTACAGGGCTATACGGATGAGGGGCAGGTTTAGAGTCATGTTCTGGAAAATGGCAATTTCTGGTTCCGATGTATTAGATCTGAGGCCGTCCGTCTCATATGTTTGGGGATCTTCTCACGGAATCAACGGCAATCCCGCAACTATGACACGAATTATAACAGAGTTACAATGGGGATATGGGATGAGTCTATGCCTTCAATCCATCTTCACTAAATGGGTCTTCACGTCCTCTCTATCAGAACTGCCCATGTTCCTGGTTGTTTTATGTTTCCCCGTGAACCGAACCAGAATCCAAGTGGTGGAGATAGCCGGAGCAAACTCGAAAATAACCCGGATAGTTTGGAGGTGCAGCGGGACGACATTCTTATTATTAACACTGACAGCAATCTCCTCGCGGCGTTTCAAGGGTATGCATTCAGGTACAGTTGAACAACTGCTTGGTTGGGGGGAGGGGGGGGGGGAGAAATATGCATGTCTAACCATGGAACTGGGGAGATCGAGAAAATAGCAAACCAATAATAATAGCCGAGTCTACGGTTGTTCACGGGCAGACATCTCCCGACACTGAGCCAGGAAATAGATGCGACCCGGTTGGTCAACCGAAGTTACCTGTGTTTTCCGCACTTTGACCTCTTGAGCTTGGTGTTGGCTTCTCCGAGGTCAGCTCTGGTCCAAGCATTGCATTTAGATTATCATTCCGTCACCCACTCCTCATCTAGTATAACTCCACAAACCTTACCCCCTCCGTGTAGTGAATAACCCTGGATTTGATTCTGTTCATCTCAGGTAATTTAAGTATCACTTGCGATTTGAACAATACACATACACCAACTTGTTTTGCCTCATTCTCTATACTCCGTGCCGGTTTTGTCAATCCTCATCCAAACCTCCATTTCCTCAACCCTCCACTTAGCCGACAAATCCCCTCCACCCCTCATATAGACATACATATCCTCCATTGGACTGTGTGACACCCTTTCCAATTTGTTTTGGCTCAATATCTCACTATTACCAAACGTTTCGCCCTTTCGAACTTTTCCCCAATTCTCCCTAATATTCCGTTATCATGTCTCATGCGAACGGTGGCAACTCTGCCCCCGTGGGTCATGAAAAGATCAACACCGACATCATCTCCCTTACAAGATTCCTTACAGAGGAGCAAACAAAACACCCAGAAGCCACTGGTGACTTTACGTGAGTTTAATTTCTATGCCTTGCAGGGCTTACATCTTTGTTCAATATCCGTGCTTGATGGCTGGCTTGTCAATGATACAGCCAGGCCCAGTTGCCGGGAATGAGCAATTTGATTTGTCTAATTGACGTGGCCTTATTTTTACAGCCTCTTATGCCATGCCCTTCAATTCTCCTTCAAATCCATCGCATACTACATCCGACGAGCCTCCTTAATCAACCTCACCGGGCTTGCGGGTTCCGCAAATACCACCGGAGATGACCAGAAGAAATTGGACGTGATCGGCAACGACCTGTTCATCGCAGCAATGCGCGGATCAGGCAAATGCCGCCTACTGGTCTCTGAAGAAGAGGAGGAAGCCATTATATTTAACGAGAGCCCATATGCCCGATACGCCGTCGTCTGCGACCCCATCGACGGCTCCTCCAACCTCGACGCTGGTGTTTCTGTCGGAACCATTTTTGGAATTTTCAAGCTTCCAGATGAGCTCCTTGGGCCCAGCAAGACAGTCACAGCCAAAGATGTCCTACATCCAGGAACAGACCTGGTCGCCTCCGGTTTCACAATGTACGGCGCCTCCGCCCAACTCGTAATCACCATGAAGGGCGGCACCGTCAACGGTTTCACCATGGAGAACTCCCTGGGCGAGTTTATACTGACACATCCCAACATGCAACTCCCCGCCAAACGTGCAATCTATAGCGTTAACGAAGGGAACTCTATGTACTGGGATCAATGGGTCAAGGAGTATTTCAACGATCTTAAATTCCCTTCCAACGGCAAGCCCTACAGCGCTCGATACATCGGTAGTATGGTTGCAGATGCGTACCGGACGCTGCTATATGGAGGCATTTTTGCATACCCGGCTGACTCGAAGAGCCCCAAGGGGAAATTGCGAATCTTGTATGAATGCGCGCCAATGGCATTGATATTCGAGAACGCTGGAGGCCAGGCGCTCAATTCCAATATGAAGAGACTTCTCGATGTTGTTCCTGAGGATATTCATGACCGTAGTGGTGTATTCTTAGGCAGTTATGACGAGATAGAGAAAGTCAAGTCTTTCCATCAGAAGTACAGCAAATAGGTTGGGTCTCTGTTCTCTTTTCTTGTTTTTCTTTTTTCTTTTTATTTCTTTTCTCAAGATTTTCAGTCTAGGATTTTCATTTATATACCGTTAACCATTATTTTCATGTATGTGTTTTCAATACTCTATATCATCATCTTGGGGAATGAAATGTCACTGATATGGTTCGATGTCTGAAAGGAGGTGTTGACTTAACGTACGTTGAAAACCCATAAAGTGACCAACTGTCCATCAAATTCGCATCGTGTATTTCTCCAAAAGGTGCGACTATACTGAAACCATTCTCTGCTGAGCTTTGAGGCCATAGCAAAGGTAAAATAAATCAATAAATAAAAAAATAAAAAATAAAAAAATAAAAAAATAAAAAAAGCAAAGAAAATATCGCTTTAAATATTGCCGGACCGCACATGTCCTATTGGAGGGGCAAGATAACCAACTAATCACGCTGCATCCCGACTTGACGCTCACGCTCCTCTCTTCAAGCAACCACCAGAACTCGTGCGTGCATAAATATATCAGCGAGATACTGCTATAACCCCAGATCTTGCTAGTTATCCAATGTAAAAAGCTTTTTGTCATACAGTCGAATCTATAGGAGAAGCTTGAGAAATGATAAGCGGAATCAAATCGAGTTAACTGCTAGAGTTGATCAACCATCTCACAAAAATCTCACGAAGTAACCCATTTCCATCGTGTTTCGACCAAGGAACAATTCGCATTCCAAGCTGAGAGAGGAGGAGAAAGAAGGAGAAGAAGTCTTCCCTTCTGACACTGTCTCAGCTCTTAACCCTTCCTTTATTCCACCCTTGCACGATAACTAAACAAAGGAGAGTAATGCGCTGATCATTGAACATCTAATCCGTGGAAAACGAACATTGTGAATGTCAAAATGCTTTGTTTCCCTATAGAACCACTTCCTGCTAGGGAAGATGGCTTGTCAAGAGGGCAATACGTGGCGCTGCGTGGCGCAATCGCATTTCAGATCGTGAACGACGCAGCTCGTCGAAGCAATGCATTTTACAGGCATGCAGTTCAGCGTGCCTTATCGTGGGCTCCAAGGCTGCAAGCAACGAAGGGACGTATAGTTATATATACGCAGAAGTCTGAGAAATAGCCCAAGCCGCCATATGACGCAAAATGCGTCAAAATATTTCGGAGCTGACAACTCGTCTTGAAGAACAGTTATGAGTTGAAGGCGAGATACTACCCTGCTCTGACTCTATTATCGCAATATCGTATCGTTTCGATTCGGTATCTTGTCCACTTTCGACTTCCCATTGTTGAATGTCCGGGGTCATGCAAGCATTTTTCAAGCAAACATGCGCTCTTCTCCATTATTTCGTGCCCTCTTTTAGCACTTCTGGAACTATTGGATCTCTGAATTTGTCTGCCAATTCCAAGGAAATTGGATATACTATTCTAATGAAATATCGCGAAGGCCAGCCGCTGGGAATCCTTGAAATATCTATCACGCCCTACACGTCAGCCGGGAAACGGTAGGCTTCCTCTTTTCTATCGTCCTAAGTCGCTAGAACTTTCACTAGATTGAAGGCAGCAGCATTACACTTCAATAGAATTACACAGCAAAGGTGGACAAATTGTTTGCGCGAAAACAAACTTGATCCCAGAGAGAACCATGTTATCGAACTTTCAGACCTTTGGCTGAAAGGCATGGAGGTGATGCTGTGGGGACAAAGGAGCTGGATTTTGTTGCTTCCAGGCCTTTGAAAATTGGCCCAGCTTCCAACTAAGAAATGTGAATTTTTGTCAAGGAATTAATCATAAAATGGTCTGATAAGGGTCTACAATGGGCTTTATTAACACAACCTTATCACTATCCCCTGACTTCCACTGCTCGCTGCTCTCGCCATTCGATCACCATGGATATATTTGTTTACATTCCTTATATCCACAGATAAATTTTTGCAAATTTTTCCAGTCTCCATCTTCCAATATTCTGTTTTCTCTTTGCTCCTATATTCTCTCTCACTGTGTTGTCTCTTGCAACAACACCTCGCTCGTCAGTCCACTATCACCGCGCCCGAAAACGCGTCTTTAACTAAGTCTCTAATCCTGTTGATAATATTACTAAACGAGTGCTAATTCCAAATTTGTGCAATTCGCGAGGTGGCCTTCAAATGGCGAATCTCAACATCAAACGTTATGACCAGCCAGGTTTTGACCCCGATACCCGTCTTATCGTCTTCGATGAGGAGCTCCATGTGAACTCGGCAATCTTGAGGTTGCACTCGCAATTCTTTCGAACGTTTCTGGACCATTACGATGCGGATAGAAATATTCAGCATGATCCTCACTCGAATTTTCGGTACGAATACGTCCTAAAAGGGGGTCATGACGGAGTGTATGGCTTGCAGCCGCTTGGGAACGTAAAATCTGGCATACGTGACACGGTAAAGTACATTTGTGGTGTTGAAGGTTAAAAAACTTGAATATGGCTAATGAAGTTATCAGGATGGAAGAGACAATGAAATCGAATACCACAGTACAGTTGCGGAACTAAGAGAGACATGGAATCTTGAACAGTTGATGAATGCTTTCTACGTTAAACCGTCAATCATCGAAGATCTGGAAGAGCTTGAGGAGTTGGTTCGAACGGCCGATTTCTACAGTGCTTTGCCAATTGTATCCAAATTTGTTGAGTCCAGCCTGCAGATTAGTGAAGAGTTGCTTTACAACATCCCCAAGTTTCCGATAGATCATGCGGTAAAGATACTATGCTTAGCACGGAAGTTGGAAGCCAGCAGTTTATTCCGGGAAACGTTTATCCATGTCATCGCTTTCTCTAATAGTGACGACGGCCACAGTTACAAAGGGATTATCGAGGAGCTAAAGCTACGGCATAATGAAGACTTGATTCCGCTGGTAACTCGATACCACGCGCTGTTGTGCAAGGAGATTGCAAATGCAAACTTCTTTCTGATGAAGTGCTGCCTGAATCAAGAACATCTGATTCTTCGCCCACATGCCACTCCTAAAGACAGGGAGCTTGCGCTTATATCAGAGGTTATTCGACATGAACTCCAGCCTGGGAATGGATATGCCAACCTAGAGCGATTTTCCGCAGGCTTTTACCAGAAACTGTGTGATGCACCGTTTGCACCAACTTCGAATCAAGCGTTAAGGTATGGCGAAAATAATGAACCAGGGACACACCATATTCAGACTCTTTCCCGCCAGCTTCAACAGAAGGTTGTGGCGCATGTCAGAAAAGGTCTCTGGCCTGTGACTAGGAACTGTCTTCAGTTCAATTACCCGCGTCATACGGCTGAATATCAGCCCGGGCGCCGTGACGCTTTTCTCTGCACACAACTGGAGGATGGTGATTTACCTTGGCGCTCTTGATTAGCTTCGTCGAACTTTGGACTTGCTTCACGCTGAATTTCAAAGCATTAAATCCAAGATATATTGGTAATTTCTCTGGCGGGTGTTCATTGAGGGATTTAATCTTCGCTACACTATACTTTACTGCGGGAATAGCAAGAATTCGGGACAGAAGCTGCCAATGGTTAAATCTACCAATAACCCTTACTTCTTGGACACATTGGTGTTATTTGATATTTGTGGTTTTTTGCTACGGCTGACATTTGGCGATTGGGAGAAAATTTCCATCAGCGTAATGCTAGATGCGTTTACAACAGTTTCACGCGGTTGAAAGGAGAACCTTTATATTCTCGCGTTTAATAATATGGTAGCATTCGTAGTACAATATTACTGCATATCCCAATCTGATGCAATAAAATGAGAACGGGCTTTCTGTAAAGTTGGATAGATGATATGGTTCCAGGCACAAGTAGACATTGGCCAAATTGCCCTGCTTAGTGAAATAGCAGTTACTATCAACGTCCATGGTAACCACCGTCTACCTAGCGTATAAATGTAAGTAAAAGACCCAGATCTGGCATTTATAAGGGGCCATCACCGTTCACGGAGAGTCATACCGTCAAAATCTCACCAGTGATATAAGCGCTAGCTCTACTGGCCAAAAACACAGTAGGACCTTTCAGGTCTTCTGGTTTCCCCCAGTGGCCGGCCGGGATTCTATCTGTGATGCTCTTGAGATACATTGGATCGCCAGTCACTGTATCCCGAATCATATCTGTTGCAATATATCTATCAAGGTTAATACACACATTAGCGTCAGGCCCTTACTCATAAACAGGTAATAATAATTGGTGATAAAATAACTCCCATCCAAACGGAAACAGTGATATGAAAAATAGTATCATACCCAGGAGCAATCGCATTTACATTAATACCCTTGGAAGCCCACTCATTACTCAAAGCCTTCGTCAACTGCCCAACACCCCCTTTACTCATTGAGTACGCGGGAATCCTCACACTGCCGAAAAACGTACACAAACTAGCCACATTAATAATCTTGCGATCACGCATGTTATGTTCAATCCAGTATTTGCCCATATCCCTGCAGAGTATAAAAGTGGCACTAAGATTGACCTGCATGATGTCTTCGTACGCCTCCAGCGGGAAGTTTTCAGCATCACAGCGGTGCTGAATCCCGGCTGCGTTGACGAGAATATCGACGTTCTTGTGCTCAGCGGTGACTATTGATATGAGGCGAGCTACGGCGGCTTTGTCGCCCAAGTTACACTGGTAGCTATAGCATTTTCTCCCTGCCTTTTCAATGGCTTCCCTTGTGTTGTTTTCAGGGGAAAAGCCCTGCGTGGAGGTTCATGACATGTCAGTTAAAAGTCATCCATTCCAAGTCGAGAAACACATTACGGACCTTGATTATGATAACATCTGCTCCCGCCTCCGCCAGAGCTATCGCCATAGCCTGGCCAATCCCCTTTGTGGCTCCTGTCACTAGAGCTGTCTTCCTCGTGAGATCGAAGAGGGAGGCCGCCATGTTTGAAGTTTCGTCGGGCAATTCCAATTAGGAGCGATTTCAAGGGCCCATTTATCATTTATCAGCTCTGACATGGTTGCACAACACGGTCCAACTTTGTCCCAGGGTTACACCGCCTGTTGCTAAAGAATATCTACATGCAGTTACACAAGCCGAGCAAGATAATAAGTCTTGAGGTTCTGTGGTTACAATTTCCAGTTGACCCATACCGAATTAAAAGGTTGGCGGCGGCGTTCGATGATGATTGCTCGATGATATACGATGTGCGTCGGGTCCCCCAGTATCGCTCGAAGTCCCACTCACGTAACGAGAGTTAGTGGATAGAAATTCAACAAGCTTAATCAAGCTCGCGTACTTTGGGTTGGAGCAATTAAAAACCGAAAATAAAAGAAAAAAAAAAAAAACCTAACAAGAAGGCTTTTAAGTTCTCCGTATCGCAATCAGCTACTCAGTGGCCTAGCTATAAAACAAGCTGTAGAGATTCGAGGATAATTGGTTATATGTCGGGTATGTTACATGGCAGAGAAAAGGGTGAGATATCTGTATAAAGTCTAAAAAAAAAAAAAAACATGGAAAACAAAAATGTGCACTATTACAACCAACTGTAATGAAGGTAGGTAGATCACTTTAATCCACTGGCTCCTCTTCTAAGAGCGTCTTAAAACTAAATGGTACGAACGGTACACCATCTCCTATGAAATGCTTGCTCATTGCCTCAACCCAATGCAACCTGAGAGAATGTAGCATAGCACTGGTACCCTCCATGACGCAAAGAATGGCAAAAGTGAGAGTAAACCACATGAAGAACGTGACAATGATTAAGATCACTCTCATTGTGTTGGTTTCTTGGCTAAAAGCTCCACCGATTGTCATGGTCCATAAAACAACAGAAAGCTGTTGATGGGCGAGTGAAAGGGCCCATAGTCGGAGATACGATGCCGTATGAGACACGCAATTTAGACAGAACTCTATATGGGAAGCAACCGTTAGTGATCTGAGTAAAACCTAGGTCATTATCGTCAAGTATATAACAGGAGGAGAGGGTCTGCATCATACCGATGGTGTGAATGATTTGATGGATCATCGCCTCAGAAAATTCGAAAGTTTCATGCTCTTCTTCACCTAGGTCCTGCGTGATCATTGCGATACCCTCCGCGTCGCTCGCCATGCTTTCGCGTACGTTGCCTGAAAGATGGCTGTCTTCGTTATCTTCATCCAAGGCACTCACACGAGCAGTCTCGCCAAGACCTCTATATCCAAGTGCACGGGCTCGGTTGTGTTCCCATCGAAGATAAAACGGTTTCAGAAACAAAAGAATTGGAACTTGAACAAGTGCAAGGAGGAGAAGAATAACTTGGACGGTTGCCTGCCCACGATACAGCTGTTCATTAACCGTACCGGGCTTGAGAAACATGAAAATGAGCAGGTTTAGTAGACCGGGAGGAGATTGACCATGAGCATTCCAGTCCACGACCCACTTGTATATTATCGTGAAAGCCAGGTAACCGAAAATGGACTGGAAAAATATCATTCCGGGGACGAAGTTGCCCCATATCTCGATTGGCTTTTTGAAATGGCGACCATTTATGTAGGACAAGCAAAGGGAATACGTCATATGGGACCAACCGAGGAGGATACTCAGCTTCATTTTGAAACTGTTAGCGAACAAAAGGTCATTCTCGGTTCCATGCCACGCCCAGTCAAGACCAAAGGGATACCGATAGCTGCCTTTCAGTTCCGCATTGACTGTCTCTCCCTGCTTGAAATTTTCTGGCCATTTCCATGCACTTGGGAAAATTTCCATTGACTTAGAAAAGATATCATTGTATATCAAACCAGTGTAAATCGAAAAAACTCCCATCATAAGCATGATATATCGACCGTAGAAAGCCATGGAAGTAAGCTCGTCCAACTTTGTTTTGAGCAACTTTCTCTCGAAAAGAATCATGGCACAAGCAACCATTGTCATGAGCATGCCATGCCCAGCATCACCAAACATAACTGCAAAGAGGAAAGGAAAAGTGACGATCGTAGGAAGGCCTGGATTAACCTCTCCATACTTAGAAGTTCCGTAGGCATTGATGATAGTCTGGAAACCCTCCGTGAATTTGTTCGTCTTTATATAGGTTGGTGGGGTCTTGTTGGTCCGAATCTGGTTGACAATGGTTGGCACGGACAGCCCAGCACGATCGTTGACATCCTGCAACGTCGTTTTAATAAGTGGAAGAGAATTGGTTGGGCACCAAGCTTCCGCAATAAGTGTCTTCCGGGCCTGGTCATAGGAGAATTTGTTGAGCGTGTGATATGTTGCCTTCTCTTTTTTGATAATAATCATCCACGCAGCTAGAGAGCGGGCGATCTGAGCCAATTCGGCATCCAACGTATTTTTGGTATTCCGCAAAACGCTGCCCACATCTGCCAATCTAGTATTAACGTCGTACACCTGGTCACGCCGGAGTTCGCTGTTTTCATCCACGCTGTACAAATCGGCTCCAAGTGATTCAGAAATCTTCCTGATCTTTGCAAGAATTTCCTTTCCATGGGCAAATATCACAAAAACATTCTTGTGAATCTCTTCATTATTTGCCGGATTGATAATCGGGTCCGGAATTTCTGACTGGTTCATATAGAGATTTCCTCGCAGAGTCCGCCACAGGATCCGCTCAAAGGAGCCAATTCGATCTCTTGGAATAACACCAGCAACGAAGCCAATATTCATCACCGAGAACGTCTGAGTCTCAGCATCGCCATTCCGGCCTCTGGGGTGTTGCTGCTCCACGTCTCGTAAAAGAGGGGCTTCGTCATTTTCAAAGGATTGGCGGATCTCATCGGTGTGACCGTGGGCCTATCGCTCATGTTAGCTGTCACCTTTAGGAGAGTTTAGAGCGTGTTCCGGGCTAAAATCTGAACGAACCCGGTCAAAAAATCCACCAGCCTCTCTTAAGACCCATCGCCGTTCAATCAATTCAGCCTCACGTTTTTTCAAGGTCTCATAGCTCTCATTCAACGACGCGACACGCTGTTCGAGACTCTCGCTTCGGTCGGCCAGCTCATCAATCTCGGATGCCATGGGAGCGGCCAAAGTGTTGGAAAACTCGGAGGATGGTCTCATGGGAATGCCTGCCTTCTCCATCTGCGAATGAAAATATCCTAAACAATATCATATCAAATAAGTACGATATTTCTCATTTCTATCCTTTCCAGGTAATAAGACATACGCAGCTGCCTCTCGACATTATCCAATCTCCGAATCTCATTTGTAAATGTCCGCTGAAACGCAGTTGTATCGGTGTTTAACTAAGGACAAGTAATTTAAAGGTTAGCCAAGGTAGACTTGAAATATATAGCATCCAGGGCCAACCCACATCGCGGAACTGGACCTGACCAAGTTCACCAAGCGCACTGACAACCTCCCTACCGATCTCATTTGCAATATATAGCTGGGTCAGGCTCATGTCCGCTGAGCGGAAGATCG